CGTTAAACGAGGTATGCCTGTATATTCACAATAATATTAACATGTATAAAGAGCATCGATATCCAATTAGAGTGGAACAAATAATAATTCTAACATTTTAAAACGGCAATCTAATTTTAAAATTTTATAAATTCTAAAAATTACAAATCATGAATAAACAATATGAAAATCACTCAGTCTAAACCTGTAAATTTTCCTATCTATGACGATAGATAGAAAAAGTACATATATACAACTACCTCGCCCTAACTTAAAAACTTTGGTTTACTTCAGTATATTTTGTAACGCCCTTATTTATGGTATAGTAGTCTAAGTCTTCATAATGCATTTGAATTTTTTACAAAAAATACAAAATAAAGCTATCAAAATATATTTTTGAATGAAATTTTAGATCGCCAACTAATTTTAATCATTATAAACATAAATTGCTAAAACTTCAAGATTATATAAATATAATTCAATCTAATGCAAATTATCCATATATACAAAAAATGAAAAAAAAAAAAACAATCAAAGAGGATCAGCATAAGTGATGTCAACCAGTATAGAATTATACAATATTTGAACTGAGCAGAAAGAACCAAAGACATTATAATTACAAGATAGTTCAACACGAACAAAAAAAAATTTTTCAATTTTTATAATCGGGGACCAAACATTGGCAAAACATAAAGTATTACATGTAATAACACTAACAAAAATAATTTTTTCTCTGTGAGTTATGAGTACTGGAATATATAAATACCTAGAATAAATACCTAGAAATGGCGCTTGATACCAAGCTTCTTTGGCGAAGTCACGAGGAAGCTGTGTGTACACGGGTAACTCGGGCACGTATGGTTTGCAGCGCCATCTCGGGCAGGTCGTGAGGCTGCTCCCCATCTGTCATGTGGTTGATGTATACCATGATGGTCGTGCAGCTCCTAACTTATGAAGCAGTGGCATGGGCAAGAAGGGTGGCTCTTGATACGGTTAGAAAGAACCTGGAACGATTGCAGATACTCGCATGCGTCTGCAACACAGGGGCTAACAGGGGCAAAAGCTGCCATTTTCAGGTTGGGGAGAAATGGAACCGGAAGAATCGGTGTGAGAGATCGAGGTCGTCTTGTCGGGGATGTTCCGCTCCTACCGATGCTTCGGGACGACATGGTAAGGAGGTACAGCTTCGAGAAAAATTTTGCCTCGTTGCTGAGTAACAGAAGGGGCTGGGAGCGTGACTTTTCAGGCCGCCGAGTAGGACACACCTTATTAGATGGTACGCACAAGGGTCAAAGACCAGTATTGGGACGGATGCGTGGGTATTTGGACCGAGAAGCAAATTCTCCGAACCTATGCGAACTTTTCCGAGTGTGTTTCGTGCTGAGTTGCAAGCCATTGAAATGTGCGTGCGGTTCAGCCTGGAAAAGGGGCATAGGAGCGCTGAACTCGTTTTCTGTATCCTCCGCGGCAATACGGGCTGTCTTGAGAAGCTCAATAAGTTAGACAGATGCAACCAGGTCACACAGTTTTGGGTGCCGGGCCATGTGGGCGTGGAAGGAAATGATGCCGCTAATGTGCTTGCAAGAAAGGGGGCAAACACATCTCTTCTTGGGCCGGAGCCCTTCTGTGGAATCGGACCACATACAATTCATTGGGAATTAAGGAAGGAATCAGAAAAAAGGCGGTCGGAGGGCTGGAGAAGTCTTCCGGGACTGCGGCAAGCCAAGGAGCTTCTGGGAGATTATGATCAGAAGCGATTTAAGAAAATTATAGGGATGGGCAAGAGCCAGGTGAGAGTCCTCACCGGTATTTTGACGGGTCACTGCAGGCTTAGGGGACATCTCAGTCGGCTGGGCCTGGAAAATGAGGATACTTGCAGATTCTGTGGGGAATATGGAGAGACCTCGGTGCGCCTGCTGGGGGAGTGTGAAGCTCTTGCTCGTGGGAGGGGGGTGCTGGGGGGCTTTTCTCTAACGGTGGGGAAGTTACGGTCTTCTGGTCCTCACGAGTTGCTTGAGTTCACCAGGAGGGTGGGTCTCAAGCGTGTGGGTCTCAAGCGTCAAAATAGATCCTTATACGTGGTCGCGGTACACTGTTGCCCCCGTTGTAAAAATCTCCAAATCTAGATTTGTGAAGCTCTCACTTTACGACCATGATTTTAACTTCTTGTCTACTTTTCGAAAAATACCTTAATGTCAGCTATGAAATACCTTATATAGACATAACACTGATATTAAAAAATATTTTTAGACGGGCTTTTCTAAATATTTTTGATATTTTATCAATAGTTTAGGCTTTACTATTTTTTACTAATTTTATGATTTTGTATTTTTTTTTGGTTATTATTTCATTTCAACTCACACTTTATTGATAGTAATGGCTGAATTGAGTACCAGACTATCAATTTCATTCTTCATTAATGAAACTTCAAATAAAGTACCAGCTAAAAATCAAATTTTTCTTTATAAGAAATAATGTTTTTAGTTATTTTGTTTCGGAATGGGTAACTTTTTGTTTGTACTTTTTTTGCAATTTTCCAACAAAATTTTTGAAACTATTTAAGAATTTTGGGATATTTTCACTCCAATTTCCGAAAATCCCTTATCTTCTTATTAATATTTTGATGCGAGCGTCTTAAATTTTTTAAGGTTTCTTTAGGTAAATTTTTCGGTTAGTTAGTCAAATAGCTTTTGTAAATTACAATATTTAGTTTTGTAAATTAAATTTAAGTTACTGTATTTTGTTATACTTTAAAAAATATTATTAGTTCGTCTGAAATATTCGAGTACTTTCAGTACTTTAACTCAAAATTAACTTCGATTCCTTTCAATTTGTCATTTTCAATACAACCTAAACCCGACATTTTTTTAACGTTAGGTAACTTCGAAATTAACTAACTTATATAACATAATTTATTTTTTTATTTATTTATTTATTAAATTACTTAGAACCTTGGCATGCATTGATTGTCTAGGAATGCAGTTTTACGAGAAAAGGGCAAAGCAGACACAACTTGAAACAGTAGGGTTGGATCTAGGTTTTTTATTGTCAGTCGACCTTAAGTAATTTGAAAGCAATCGGTTATGTTCCCTACTTTTTTTTTTGTTAAAAGTATATAATATATTCTCTTCTTCTTTGGATAGACAAGAATTTACATGGAATCAACATTTCACTGAAATTCATATGAGGATATTTCGAATTTGGTCTGGAATTATTTGGAAGTCTTTGATGGAGCTGGGTAGTAGTGAATTCGTATTTTTCGTTATTAGCTCTTTTAGTTTTAAAAGCAAAAACTTTGCTTTCTAAACAGAATTATGAACATCGTGAAGAATTTATTATAAGGTAATAATTGTTTGAGTTCTCCACATTGCAATTAAAAACCTATAGCAATAGCAACTAAAAGTTATATTAATTTTCCGAAAGAGAAATTATACTAATCAGAACTGTCAAGATGAAACTACTGTTAAATAGAAAAGATTACATTAAGTATATTATGTTTGTACAAGTACAATTTTACTTCTTTTCTTAATAATAGCTTTGATACGTGGTATTTTATCAGAATTCACTTCCTAAAATGTGGCAACTTCAAAAGCTAATTTATAAAAATATAAATTAACGTTATATGAAGTAAATTATATTTTTTAAGCGGCTAGCACATGCAACATAATTTTTACCACTTAACTCTATTTCCCCTAGATTCTAAAAATATTCTATTTCTAAAAATCTAAAAATATTTCATTCAGGAAAGAATAAAAAAAGCCAATCGTTTCTGAAACCAGATCAAAAAAGAGAATCGCACGTTTTGACATTCCTTTTTATTTATTTTCGGGGTTTTTTTTACAGGTAAATCATTGCTTTTTATGATTCTCATGATACAGGATCTTTTACAATGAATAAAGCATAGTCTTTATTTAAAATTTTATTCACTGTATTTATGAAAAGGTTTTAACAGATACCTCACACAAAAAGTATACAGTCTTCCCCGGAGAAGTGCCTGACTTTTTAAATTTTTAAAGTAATTACACGGAAAGCGCACTCCTAAAAATACCACTTAGATATAATTTTTTAGTTTATCAATTAAGCAAGCAGATTAACATTTATTTTTCATCTAGATTCAGGTTGACTGCGTTTTTTCACTTGATTGAAAAACGCAATCAACCGAAATAAGCGAAAGATCTTAAATGTACTTTTAAAGAGAAAATTTTTAAGGGGGAAAGATTTTTAAGCACAATGCATATATCAGAGGGTGACTGTAAATATATGTGTCCAACTCGGATGTAAAAGAAGTTTAAAATTCTTATGATATTTTTGAATAAATTTTAATTTTTTTTAACAAATAACACCAATGATAAATAAAATGTCAAAACCTACTCGTTTTTTGCCAACCTACACAATAAATTTGGGATTATGTATATGTGCATATATAAATACATATATACAGAAAAACTTACCATTTTAATTAAAACCCCCTTTAATTTCAACCAAAAATTTCATAAATTTGAAAATTCAGCTGAACTGCAAAACTATTTGTTTGTCCAACTATTTAATTAAGATTTTAAAGGAAAGTTAGAACTCATTGCACCCAAATTATTGATTTATATACCTACATATATAAAACAATTTTAGAAAACAGTAACTATCAATCAAGCGTTTTTATAGTTCCTGCTGGATAAAAGTGTTAGACAGAAATTTTCGATAAGAAATTAAAAAATTTAAAAGGACATTTGCCAATTATACTTCTTGCGAAACTTTATATAAAAAGCTTTTTTAAAATAGGCACATAATCATAACAAAAATGTAAAAAAATTATGTGTACATTGTATATGTATCAACAGTTCAGCGAAGTCATGAAATTTAGTACGTGGGTGTAAAAATTAGCTTTATTTCAATATTTTTCAAAATACAAACATATTCTTAGTGAAGAACACTTAAACTGCGAAATTTAGACACTTTTCAAATTTCGCAATATTTTTGCAAATGTAATTTCACACACAGGAAATAATAATTAATTTTATATTAACTTAGGTTATTACGTTTCCACTTTACATATTTTGATTTTGACATCGAAAAATTATTAAAAAATACCTGCACAGTTATACTATTAACCAAATAATTATATATGTATGTACATGGATATGTACTTTTAAAACTTTTAAATTTCTCAATAATATGCATGAATATATTTGTATGTTTGTATATACGTATATGTGTAGCCATATACATAGCTACTTATGTGCATCATGCATAAATGAATTGTGTAAAAGTTTTTGCGCATGTTTCTATATTTTCCATTACCTATACGAACATTGGAAATTCGAAACTGCTCTTTACTTTTAGTAAGATATGTAATCTGTTAAAATATTTATGTAATTTTAAAATATAGATATGTAAATTACCTTAAATATCCTTTTTAGTATATTTTTTAATCCATATTTAAAATATATTCAAACAAAATTTTAATTCAAACACATGATAACTAAAATTAATTTAAAAAGTAAATGTCAGAGAGTAAAGCTACAGGTATAAATAACTATTTCATGAAAACAAAAAACAAATGAACTGTTCCTCTTTGGTATGCAAAACTTTTCTGACTTAATTTTTTTGTTTCTGCTTTGTTTGGTTTTATTTGAGATACATATATTGAAATTAAGTATAAAAATCGTTTAATTCAACACTTTAACAGGTTTCCCTTCAGTTACATTTTTGTACTAAATTTAAGTAAAATTATTTTGTTTTTAATATTGTTCCTCTTACGAGCAGTCTTTAAGGACTGATTTCTCTTCTGTATCATATTCCTTCAAAAGTTTTAAGGACCAGAATATTATTTTCACCGCAAAAGTTCAGAAAAAAGAAACGTCACAAAAAAAAGCTTACAAAAAGCTTTTTTAAGTGTAAGTCAAAATACTCGCTTACTTCTTAGTGATCAATTTTTTGACTAATAGTGAAATTTTATATATTTTACTAGTCAATTAAATTTTATATACAAGTACCTTACTTCATCTGTAGTTTTTGATTGCAACAAAAATTTTTGTTAAAATCAAAACAAAAAAGCTAACATTTATTTTATTGAACTTTAATAATCGCTTTTACATTCATTAATAATTTAGTTAGGTATATTCTTTAAAATAGTATAGGTCCTATCTCTAAATCTATTTCGTTTAACTTGAAAATATGTTTAGAAATTCTTGAAAATTCAGGGTTGCATTATTGGCTGCTACTTTTTGTTTGTTTTTTACTTATTGTGTTATCATCTATCAGTAACGGGTTTGTAGACTTTAAAATTGATGAGCTGTAGAAACGGAATTAATTTGTACAGGTTTGACTTCAAATTAAGGCTGGTAGAAGTTGTTTTCATTAACTATTTTCAAAAATATAGTTAATGAAAGCAACTTGTACCAGTTCAAAGTATAATTAATGAAAACAATTTCTACCAGACCAAGCCAGTTAACAGCTGAGTTAAAATGAGTATTTTTGAATACTTGCTTGGTCTATTTTATGCTTAATATTTGATATAAGCAATCACCTAATTACATTAATAATAATTATTAATGTAACTACATTAATAATAATTAATTTGATATTCCGTACCTATTTGCGGGTACAGAGTTTTGTGAAATAGCTGCTTTCATGTCATTTCCAATTTGCTTTACCTATGTCATTCCTAAATTTTTACTTTTGCATTACTAATTACTAATATAACGTGTAGTTGTTTATTTGTTTTTTTTTTATAATTTATTAATAATTCTTAAACTGTAAAAAATATTTTAGTTGCATCGGTGCAAAATTTTGCGCTAGTGCACAACTAATTTCTACTTACTCGTGAATCAGTTATTTTTACGAAATTGAGCTGTTCACCTTATATTCTGTTGTGTTTATATTTTCTTTCTTCTATGTTAATTATAATTATAATCATAATTTTTTTTTTTTCTAAATAAAATAGAATGTAAATACGCCTTCAAAAATTTCAAAATTTGCTGCGGATAAAAGACAGAAGTCACAGTAACGTAAAGAGTTCTGCTATACAGGGTGTTCGCATAAGGTGGCAAATAATTTCAGGCATAATTCTTTGATCAATTTCTAGCAAAATATAAACTGGCAAAATTATGAGAGATGGAGCCAAATGTTATATGGGTTGACTTCAAGATCTCATCGTAGCACATTGAAAATCTCGAAACTAATTATCTCTCGAACTGAAAATGCACAACCCTTAGAAAATTTTTTTACATATTTTCCGTACATATTAACAATTATAAATATTTTAAAATTACAATTGAAAAAATTCTAAAATAGCAGAAAATATTTCAGAAAATTTCCAAATATCTAAAAGTTTCAGTAAGTAACGTACATATGAACAGGTACATTATGATTTCTATTTTACTTTTATCCATGTAACAAAATATACAATACACATGTATTTATTTTTCAGATCAATCGAATGATGAAGATATTGATGAAATTATGCATGAAGAAAACTTAATGAATTTATTTATATTCCGAAGGAGTATTAACAATTTCAAATTCCTTTAAGGTATTAGAGAATGAAATTTTTAATAAAAAAGTTTTTGCCTTAAATTCCTTGTTTCTTTTTAAGTTTTGTTATTTGAGATGATGGAACTATCAAAAACATTACCAAACGTATATTTCAAAGTTTAAAAAAATTATAAATAAAGTTGGGTCAAACCAATGGTTTGTATTGTAGCACTTTTCCCTTCAACAAGTGAAAATTCTGCTTTTAAATACAGTGTATTTATAGCTATTTATCACACTATTAAAATTATTTTCATTCATATACAAAGATATTTCTAGGATTGCATATATTTAGGATGAACGATTTATGCAGTCTTTGAAATAAAGCAAAAATTAATATAAAGAGGGGTTAATATAATGCTCAATTTTAAGGATAAATTGTGTGAGTTAAGAAAAATAATTATATTTTTAATGTCATAGAATTTACCGTTAGCTTTTTGTGTTTATAGAAATTTGAAAAAGCTTGCGGTTTCGGAAATATAAGGTGTCGAAAATTCAAATTTTACAAATTTCAAGAGGCGATAACTTGAGAGGAGGTGGAGATGGAAAATAATTTTCTTCTAAAGAAATAAACTATTTGCTAATGTCTAAAAGCCCATTTCAAGCTTCTACAAGCTGGGGTCTAGAAGAAAAACGAAATCAAAAATTTGGAAAAAAAAGACTTCAGATAACGGTAAATTAGAACGGCCATTTTGTTTTTCTAAAGTTTAACTATAATGTACCACGCTAGGGGAAGCAAGGGACCGCTGCCTTTATGCGTTTGCAAAATTTCAAAAATGCTTATGGTTTCATTGCAACAAATAGTTAAAAAAGACCATTTTTAGTGTTTTGGGGGGGTGTAACTTCTAGAGGGGGAGAGATAGGTAAAAATTTTGTTCTACGGAAATAAGTTTGTAGTAAAGATCTATGTACATATAAAATTTCAGCTTTCTATCTTCAAGGGTGTAGAAGTTTTGTAAACAGACACACGGACAGACGGACGGACGGACGGACGGACGGACGGACGGACGGACGGACGGACGGACGGACGGACGGACAGAGTGAAACTAACAAGCACTTTTTTTCAAAAATTTTTTGGAAAAGTGCTAAAAGGAAATATCTAAGGAATTGCCTTATAGTACGTGGTTGTGTCGACAGTACTAAAATAAACTTGACAGAAATGCCTAACATTAATACTACCAATTTTTTCGAGAAAGCATATTTATTCTATAAAAGCCCAAATAATAAGTGCACACAAATTTGTCATGCATCAGTTGGGTTTCTGGCAGTGTAGATGATGCTAAATTGTTCTCAACCTATTTTAGTGAAAAATAATGCTTTGCCAGTTATATCTAAAACAGATATAGTTCCTAACCCTACCACTGTGAAAATGGCCAAATAGCATGAGTTCAGTTTGCGTCATAGTAAACATCGAGTTCGAATCAAAAGCTGCATTAGGATATGAAAGGAGAAATTTGAAAGTTTAAAACAAAGGCTCCCAAGCTTTTTTCCCTTAATATTTATTTAATTAAATTCATATTTTTTTTGTAGACCCCTAGCAGGTCTTCATAGACCTGAGGGTCTATATAGACTACTTTGAGAATCACTGGTGTAAAACAACCAAAACTTCGAGTTCTTCCACAGGAAAACTATAAATTATGTTGCAATTGGATTATGATTTGTTGTATTAAAGCTACACAATATTTTAATTTTGGTAGGAAATAAAATCATTTAACTGATGAAAACTACCAGGAATGAGATGAAAGTACCAGTGAAGAAATGGAAGCTAAAAATAACATAAACGTTACAATCCAAAGAACAAAATCCAAAATCGGTTGTTTTTTTTTTATACCCCAATTTTAGTCCCAGATGTTTTAAAAACAAATTAAAATATTTTGTTTTTAAATGTGTAGATACATATGTATGTATATGTAAGTTTAAAATCATTAATCTAAATAAAAAAATCTAAAAATAAAAGTAAAAATTTTAATAAAAAAAATTTGTTATAATATGTATAAATTGGAATAATATGAATTCACATGTAGTAGAGTTAGTGCGGTGATTGTAGACCAGTCCGTTAACGTGGACCACCATTATATCCGAGAAACTATACATGCAATACATACTATCTATGCATGTCGAAACATACAGAATTATAATTATTAATAAGAAAAAAAAATTATTACTCGGAAATCAATATTGCTGTAGCTTTCAGTATCTCAAGCGTTTTTACAAAAAATGTTGTAAATTTTTAACGACAGCATTTTTTTGTATTTTGTAGTTTTGTGTACCGTTACTATAAAACCGGTTTCGCTAAAGAAGAGTTTTTTGCCACGCAAAAATTCTGTTTAGAACAATTTGATCTGAGCATTTGCTTTGATTATAAAACTTATATTCTTTCGAAAGAAAATTTCGTGTATTGTGGAACACTATGCCTTGAGTAATTTGGCCCTCACATGTGGTCCAAATTTCCCATCCATTTTCAAAACTTTGCTATTATGACTTTTTGCACTGAAAATGAATTTACAAAAAAATTGTTTAACATAGAAGTCTAAAACTTTGCGTTTAAAATG